AATCCTGATTTAAATAAATTGGACTATTGTATATTATGCATCCTTTTTGCCTAACCTAACTTTGTATTATAAGGATATATCTACAAGAGGTAAGTTGCGGTTAATTTAAATATTTTGATATTACAATATAACTAAAAAATACTTATCTTTTAGGTTATTGAAGTTGCAGAATATATGTGTATGTTCTATCCAAAGTTTTACTATAAACTTAACTACATTGATTCCTTTTAGGCAGAGACAAAGCAATATTTATATTTTCACTGCAATTATTTATTTAATGATCTTAAGAAAATTATACTGTGTGCATTAGATTCTATTAACTTGACTAAAATTTACTAATTTTCACGTCATTCTGCACATTATATAAGTGCTTATGAACTTAGACTTTCAGGTAAAGCAAGCTGTCTTTATAGTTAAATATTATTAGTCTCATTATCAGATTTCTACAAATATTTTGGAAGAATTCAAAAATATATAAAAATAATTTTTGAGTTATGATTAGCAAATCAAATATTATTATATAATTTTATATACACTAATTATATCCTTTTATATAATATTTGTAGTGCTAAAAATTTTACTATTATTATTAAAATTAATGTTATAAAATTTTTAACTTTAAAAAAATTTTATAATAAAATTAAAAAAAAAATATATTGCATTAAAAATCATATCAAGAGTGATTAAACAATATTTTTTTTTAATACTTTTATAGTTAAATAAAATTTCTTTATATTTTAAAATTACTAATAAATATTAGATACAACTAAACTGTTTACACCATAGTATCATAATAAAATTTAAAATAACATAAAAGTTAGCTTGAGACAATTTTTGAATATTTTATATATAAATCATATTTATTACAAATATTAATAATTTAGTCTTCTAAGATTTAAGCAAATTTATAAATGCTTAATCAAATTATAATAATTATTACTGTAGAGCACTGATTAAACTACTCTGGGTTTTTTACAAATTACCTCCATATTTGCAAAATATCTGGATAGTTTAATCAGAAGGGTATTTTATATAAAAAGGATATCTTGTATAGATCAAATGCGCTATGTTAATCATGATATAAAATAAAATTTTATAACGTATTTTACTTTGTGTTGCTTAGTATTTATAGTTAGACCTTCTAATAATGGTTGTTAAAGAAAATAAAAGAACTTCTCATTTTAGAATAACTTTTAAAAAAATGACAATAGTGTGTTTATGAAAAGCTAATAGTTTTATATTTTTTGAACTGATCTAGTAGTATTTGTGTAACTGTAAATTATTTTGGTTTATAATTAAGTTAGGTTCATAACTGGAAACGTAAAAAAAATTAATTTAAAGCTTTAGCATCTTATTTATTAAGTTACATAGTAGTAGATAGCCATTCTTTCTAGATCTAGAGTAAGAGTTAGCAAAGTGGATTTTAGATTATCAAGTACAAAGTTTACCAATTACTAAAAATATAACAATAGAACTTGCATAAACTGATAATTACCAAGAAAAATATCCAAATATTAAATTTTTAAGCAAATAGATAGATTATTTTATGATTCATCATGATCTTTCAAATAGATGAAAAATAATAGTATCTCAATATTTACTAGAAGATTTACTTGAAAAGTAGCAAAGTTTTTTAAGTTTTGTCCTATATAGAAGAATATAGCATGATTATCTACTAAAATTTATTGGAAACATAAATGAAATACCTGTAGTTTTTGATTTATCTAATTCATATAACTTAGAAAAACACAGTTCTAGTTCTATTAATATAAAAATTACAGATCATAAAAGAAGCACCTTTATAGTTATTTTAGGTTATATAGCTGATAGATCAAAATTATCACCTATTATTATTTTCAAATTAAAAAACATACCTTGAAAAAATTTTTCAAATGGCATATTTATTAAAACAAATTAAAAAGGATGGGTTAATGAGAATAAAATGAACTAGTGAATAGAAAATATTTGGTCTAAAAGAATCACTGATTTATCATCAAATCCTAGATTACTTCTTGTTTTGGATTCTTTTCATGAGCACTTAGTTGATTCTGTTAAATAAAAACTTAAAGAAAAAGAAACTAATATAGCTGTAATTTCTGGTGAATTGACATCTAAGTTGCAAGCACTTAATTTAGCAATTAATAAAAGTTTTAAATCTAAAGATAGTATTGCAACATTATGATGCTTATTTGTCACTTGTTGCAACTTAAATTTTAATAATATTGCAATTCATTGCAACATTGTGATACTTATTTGTTACCTGTTGCAACTAATTGAAATGTCATCTTTATTTAAATCTCATGTAAGATTTATTTATGATTATAATATATTATAGATATTATTATTAAATTATTAATTAATAATTATTTAAATTATCATATAATTTTTTATTTACAGATTTGCAAATTTTATAATAACTGGATGATAAATGAAATTCATGAATTAATTTTAGCTAAACGAATTAAAAAATCTTCTTATTCTTTAGTATATTTATAGGTAAAGGATGTATAAGAAAAAGTTAATCCAAATTTAATTTGTAAATCATTTAAGTGTTGTGGAATTTCGGTTAAAATAGATGGTATAGAAGATAATGAGATTTTTGATTATGATAATCTTCTTATAGAAGATAAAGAAAATTTTAATGAAAATGATAAAGATAATGAATTACTTGAAGAAGAAAAGGATAGTGAAGATAATTATAATAATTGGGATGAATTTTAATAGTTGTAATTTGCAAATTAATGGTTTTTACAAAAATTTTTTTTTTTTCCTTATGATTCTAATACTTTTTGTATTAGTTTATTATTTATTTAAGTTTTATAATGAGGTTGTTAATAATTTCTTTATTATATATATAATTTAATAGTTTGAAAAAAAAAAAAATAGATTTTAAATTTTTGCCATCTTATTGGAATTTTAATAAAAAAAAAAAAAATTTACTTAGCTTATAATATTCTTTTATAATTCTAATACAATAATTATAATAAAAATTCATTTATAAATTAATAAATAAAAATTAATAAAATCGTCTATTACTCAGTTCAATACTGTGTTTCTTATAAAATTTGACCCAAAACCCTAGAGGAGTAGTTTATACAGTGGGGAAGGGGGTAGTTTAGTCAGTATTCTATGATATATTTAATATTTTTAGATTATGTAAAATATAATATAAAAAGTATTATAATAAATTATAATACAAAAATTATCTTTGAGTCAACTTTTTAAATATTTTAAATATAAATCATTTACAAATTTTAATATTTAGTCTTCAAATATTTGAGCAAAGTTACAAATACATGGTCAAACTATGCCAACCATTATATTTAATATTTTAGGTTATGTAGAATATAATATAAAAGTATCACAATAAATTTTAAATAATACAAAAATTATTTTGAGTCTACTTTTTGAACATTTCATATATAAATCATATGTTATTATAAATATTAATAATTTAAACTTTAGAGATTGAGCTAAATTATACCAACCATTGTATTTGATATATTAGGTTATTATGATTTAAAATATTTCAATTAGAATAAAAAAAATACATTGATTTTGGTAATTTTTTTTATGTAATTGTAAAATATTACTTCTAGTAAAACTTATCCAATAATATTTAGATTTTGATAAAATTTGATATTTTATTTATTAGTATTATTTTATACTATTATAAATTTATTAAATTATTTTAAATGTTAATATTAATTCAAAAATAAAATTACTCAAAATCAAAAATCTGAGTAGATTAACATATTATTAAAAATGATAATTAAATTGAAGAATTTTTATAAAAAGGTAAAAGATTAAAAGATGTTATAATAAAATTAATTATTTTGAATAAATCGGTGATTAATTTTAATATGCAACTAAATAATATTAATAATACATTTTTTTTTTTTTGTTTTTGTTAAGCCTTGAATACTTCTAATTTAATAGAATAAAAAGATCTAGTATTACATTAAATAAAGCCATTTTTGATCCTTGCGTGACGAAACAATTTCCAAGTTTGCAAGCCATTTATCCGAGATAAATGTGAGTAACGTAATACTTTTTTTTTTATTATGTTATTTTCGGAAAATAAGGGAAGAAACGAAAGTTTCATTCATATCGTTCATATCTAAAAACCGAATACTGTATCTTTTGTTCTCTTTAAATTAATGATTTTTTTTATTTATGAAGTAAAGATAATCAAATGAGTTGGCACTTCGAAACGATCTTTTGAATCTCGGAATTATTCCCGTTTATTGAAAAAAAAAACCTTATGAATGTTGCATCCTTCAGCCCTGCTGTAGGTCAAAAAAAAATTCTAATTCAACTTTTTCAAATAATGCGACGCAGTAAATTGTGACAAAAAAGGAAATCCATTTTCGACGACAAAAAAAAAAAACAATTATAACGTCCTTATTAATTCATACATTTCGGGAAATGTCGTGTTTGAGATGCAATGTTGAAGGGAGGTGCATACAAAGGACACAACAGTTTTACTTCTATAATTAGAAGTTGGAAGTTTCATTATATAATGATAAATGAACAAAGTTACGAATGTCTTATCTGTTAACATCTTTACGAATTCCTTATGAAAAAAAAATGGAATTTTCATTGTTTTTCGGATTAACGACATGCAGTTATCTTACGATCTGTAAGACAAAAAAAAAAAATTAAAAATAATAATAATTATTATTTTCCTTATATACCTAGAATACAACGTTTTGATTTTTTTTATAAATAAATAAATTATTTCCAATAATAAACTGTTCGATAAACTTTGATTGAATGAAAATAGATAAAGGTAATAATGGTTATGTATGTCGTGTATACTGTTTTATCTTTCTTCGTTACTTGCGTATATTTAGTGTATTCATGTCGTGATCCTTTCTTTACTTACTTATATACTGTATATAGATTATTTATATATTTTGTTTCGAGTAAAAGATCTTTTTTGACACGCATTTACTTTATTCTTATATGTTAATCAATTGATTTTTACCTATTAAAATATGTCAGATCATAAACAAAGATGTAATTGTGTGGTTTTTGTTTCGAAAACATTTGAAAATTGTTATATAAGAAGTGCGTTTAAATGTTTTTAGAAAAATCACTTTAATAAAATTATTCAATTTTTTTTTTTTTTTTTTTTTTTTTTTTTTTTTTTTTTTTTTTTTTTTTTTTTACAATTAAAATAATAATCATAATAAAAATGGGAGTATCTTGTGGCAAAGATCGAAAAGTTGATAATAAAACTAATGGAAAAAAGAACTTTTTTCATAAGAAAAGTAAAAAAGATCTGAATCATCCATATCCGTCATTATCCACATCACCTTTTGGGGTATGCTCGGATTGCAATTCACCTAACACCGATAAACCTCAATACAATAAATATGGATGGTGTCATTCATGCAATTCAACTAGATTTGAAAAAGAACTGTCTTCGTGGACAAGTAATAATCCTGAGATTGATAATTTGATTAAAGGTTCTCAATTAAATGCCATGAAGAGTCGACAAGTATTAGAATGGATACCTTATGAAAAGTTATATAACGTACAATTTGTCGCTAAAGGTGGATTTGATTGTATTGTTTATTCCGCAACTTGGGTCGAAGGTAATATCCTTTTTTGGGATTCAAAGAAACAAAATTGGGTTCGTCGTGCTCCAGTCCCAGTTGCATTAAAACGTTTCGAAAATTCTCATAATATCACCGCCGATTTTTTCGAAGAGGTAAATTTAAGTTGATTCGATCAAATGGCGTCTACTTGAATTTAATGCTTACAGGAAAACCTTTTTTTTTTATTTATTTGTTTTTTGTATAACAATAATATATTATAGCTTAGAACGTATTGCCAATACGGAATGAATAACGATGGGTTAATTGAATGTTATGGAATCACTCAAGATCCCGTAACGAAAGATTATATTTTAGTGACCGAATTTGCTTCTCAAGGAAATTTGAGAAATTCTTTGACAAAAAATAATCAAGTATTGAATTGGGAACGAAAAATAGATTTACTTTTAAAAATTTCAATGACGTTACAAGATATTCATTCATCTGGATTCGTCCATCGTAATTTGCATAGTGGCAACATCTTACAGACAGATCAGGGTTATCCAAAAATAAGTGATATGTCATTATCCAAATTTATCGATCATGAGAAAAATCAACTGCTATATGGTGTTTTACCATATGTAGCACCGGAAGTTTTACGGGGAGAAGAATTCACTTCGGCCGCCGATGTATATAGTTTTTCAATGATTATGTGGGAAATTTCTTCCGGTATGGCATTATTTAGCAGCAGAAAACACGATATTCAATTGGCTATTGATATTTGTAATGGAATAAGACCAAAAATCGTGTCGGGAACTCCAAAATTTTTTTCAATGCTTATGGAAAGATGTTGGGATGCCGATCCTTTAATGCGTCCAGGTGTGCAAGAGATTACAGCAATGCTATTCCGCTGGCATTTTCATTTGGAACAAAATCGCTCTATTGACATATGTAAAGCATTCATGGTTAACGGTCATGAAAAGAGTTATTTTCAACCATCAAATAGTTTACAAGATGTTACAATTACGGTTGAAACCAATTATAATAGCCAATTGCTCGACTTTAAAGATCTTCCCGAACCCACAAATTTCTACTCTCGAACTGGTCACGATTCGGCATTTGGAAGCATGTCAAGCAGTAAGTATTGTTCTTTTTTTTTTTTTTTGGAAAAAAAAAATTTATAATCGTTTGTTAATTACTATTTTTTTTTTTTTTTTTTTTTTTTTTTTTCTTAGTTGAAGCAAGTAGCAAAAGTCATCGTATCTCGGAGAGTTTGACAAGTTTGGCAAGTTCGGGTAAATTTCAGATTTTTTTTTATCCGTAAATTTTACTTTTCCGTAAATGATCGGATGAAGAATTAATTGTTTGTTCAACACAGATTCTTGTGACAAATCTTCAACACGTCCTTTATATGTTAATTTACTGAGAAAACAATATCAAGATGATGCGAATTGTTTAATTTATGCAGAGCCCGAATCTTATTTAAGTAAGAACAAAATATTTTCTAGTCCAATATAAAAAAAAAAATTTCTCTTTTTTTTATTTATAACATTTTTATTTATAGATGATGATGAAGATGATGATGATGTAAGTCAACTCGAAACAATACAAGGGCAAGAAACTAATTCTGACGACGAAAAAGGTTCCGAAACAACTTTCGCAATGGATTATGAAATAATGGACAAACCTAAACAAATAGAAAACGAATTAAAAAATTCTATTTATACAACGGAGAACATCGTGGTTTCATTATAACCTTGGAGTTAGAATCATATGAAACAATCTGTTTTTGATTGATAAGATTTTTTTTTATTCACGTTACAATGTAAATATTGATTTTAAAAAGTTTGAGGGGATACAATATAAATATTATTTGATTGTTTGTTCATTCAATATAAGTATCACATTAATCGGATATTTAAATAAAAAATGTATTTTAAATTCTAATTATCGGAATTGGCAATGTAATGTACATTTCACATCAAAAGATCTGATCGAGATGTGCCTATCATTCAAATTCAAAATTAGTAGCTGTTTTTCTAATAATAAAAGTGATTTCACGCAATCTAACGTAAAGTGGGAAAAATCAATGATTGTATAAATATATCATCAATTAATAAACAATATATTTTTTTTTATTAGAAAAAAAAATTAAGTTTGGTATTTAAAATTATTTCTAAATATAATGTTTACAGATAGACTATGCGGAATTTAATTGACTAATATTATTATGATTGAGTCGATGGCCGATATAGTTACTCCCGTTCATTAACCAAATAAAGGATGGTGGAATTTCTATATTTTTCAGGACCTGTATCAGTGAAATGTTTCACTATCAATTAAATCATTTAATCATTCGATTTATCTTACTCGCTATTAAAGAGATGATAAAATCTTTTTTAAAATCAACTGTCATTTAGGAATTCCTAACAGACTTAATTTTCCGAATTATTTTGAATGACAACGGATTGAAAAATGCTTCAGAGATTGTACAACCACTACTTTCTAATGATTAACCATATCCACGTGAAATGTTCAATACGACTAATCGTTAAGAATTATTTTAACTAAATCTACCGTGATAGGATTCAATAAAAATAGAGGAGTTATAAAAAATATCTCGTGAAATATTTTAAACGAATAATCTGGAAAATTAGACAATCTTTGGAAGTGCAAACCCAAGAGAAACCCCGAGTAAATATTTAAATTCAAGTAGAACCATCTCAAGAGCTTGAGATATTGGACCATGTTCAATAATGAGGAAAAGACAGCTATATTGTCTTTTTGCGCATTTAATATACCAACATCTTTATTTATAGCACCAGGAATTTGAAAAAAAAAATACGTGAGCGAGAAGGGATATTGAGATTTAACTAACTGTAAAATTGTGAATATTATGAGTAATGAATGAAACAATTGTTACATCAATTAATAAATGATTAAATTCAGAGGAATTCTCTTACGTCCTAAATTTTCAAATATTAAATTACTTACTCCGACCATTACTACAGTATAAATCAAAACCAACAACAATTAATTTATTAGCGAATTGTTTGTCGTGAATCTACCACCCAAATATTGGTTCTTAATTATATTTAATTGAGCACCGACTTGTAATGATAATATTCTATCAGATAGCGTTCCCACAAAGGACGATTTTTTGGCACTTATAGAAATAGATTAGTGAAATGATTGATGGTAATAATCCAGAAATATCGATAATAATATTTTGTGAAATTTTAATCTTTTCTAATAATTCAATAGATTAATTTTCAGCGAGAATAAAGTGAAGGAGAAATTGTAACATGTACAATAGAAAACAGATTAATGGTGGATAGGTAATGATAGTATTTTATAGAGTCAAGCTTGATGTTTCAATGATCAATTCATTATATTAAATTAAAACTATTTGTTAATACTTTATTTGATGAAAGTTAAATACTTCATATTATTAGTTTAACTTTACTATAAGATTTAAATAGATTTAAATACTTTGCATTATGTTCTTTTTAAGTGATATTCTTAAACTTACATTTTTCTAAATAATTTAAATTTAGATTCATTATTTCAAATAATATTTAATATTTATATGATAATCTTAAAATTATTTTATTATTTTTAAAGATAACTAGTATAATATAAATATTTTAATACTAAAAATTAATTTTTAAAAAAACCAAAAAGATTAAATAATATAGTATTTAAAATCTTAATTTTAATATAAAAATAATCTCAGAAAATAATCATTTAAGAATTAAGTTAAATCAGTTTAACAATTTAAATTAATTTAAATAAAATTAATTTTATTTTATATTTAAATATTTTTTTTGTAAAATTATTATATTTAAATATTTATTATAATAATTTTTATTTTTAATATATAACTAAGAAAACGGAATCTATTGTTAAGTCTAGAATGATCTTAATAAAAAAAAATTCATACTGATATTTGCTTTATTTAAGATTTTGTGCAATAACAAAGCTAATCAGTATTGATTCAATTATTGAGCGGGTAAACACTAGAATATTTTTTATCGTATATAGTCCTATACTTAATTTTAAACTAATAAAATTTTTAAAATTACTTTTTAATAATTTTTAAATAAATTTATAATAATAGTTTTATTATTAATTTTAATAATCTAAAACTTAATTATTATTAAATTATAAAATATTTTAAAATCATATATAAATAAGAATATTATAGTTATAAAATATATAATGTTAAAAAAAAATAATTTTATAAATTTATATTATATTATATAAGTTTTTATTTTTATGTATCTAAACAAAATACAGATATATAATAATAGATGACAAATAAAATTTTTTTATGAAAAAATTTCTAAGTTTTCAGAATAAACCATAAAAATAAAATACATAAAAGTATAATGTATTATAATTAAGGTTGTTTGTCTAAACTTATTTTAGGTTTAATAAATGTTTAAACTATAATTTTGCTAATTTTTTACTAAGGTTTTGATATAGTTCACATTTTTATAATCTTTGATATAGTTTTGCTTTTTCTAGAATTTTGCAAATTTTTTAATAAAGCTTTAATATAATTTTACTAAATTTTACCTTTTTCTATTTAGACAATTTGCAAAACCTCTAAACATTATCCAGCAATCTTAATTATAATAAATAACATTAATCCTAACTCTAATTTTAATCTTAATCCTAATCTAACTCTTACTTTATTTAATATATATAAATATAAAGATGTGCATTTCTACAAGATACGTAAAATATAAATTCTTATATTATATTTTTTAATTATATAATATTAAATTTAAAATTATTTATAAGTTAAAAATTTGTAATTTAAGTTTTAATATAAAATTATAAAATTTATTTTAAAGAAAATCTTTTATTAATAAAAAATTTTATGATTTTTATTAATTATAAAATTATTTAATATATACATAAATATATAAATTTTAAAGAAATTTTAAAAAATTATTATAATAAATTTTAAAATATTTTTTAAAAAATTAATAAAATATATATCAAACTATTTTTTTTTTTTTTATAATTATTATATGAATTTCTAGAAAATTCAGATTCTAAAAAAATTTTGACTAGAAATAGGAGTTTAATATTAAAATTAAAAAGTAATAAAAATCTCAATTTTGTTAAAAAATTACTAGAATTTGATTTTTCTAACAATTAACCAATATTATTAAAATTAAAATTTATATTTTATTAAGAAATTAACAAATTATTTGCTAGACAATCTAATGAACAACTAGATAAATTATAATATATTATTTATAAATTATTAAAAAATTATAAATTTTATAATTATTAATAAAATTAAAATATATATTAAATATACTTTTTATATATTAATTATATAAGAATATTTATGTTAAAAATAAAATAAAATAAATTATTTATAATATGATTTACTGGTATTACTTTAATAGTTTATATTGATTAATAAATTACATTTTTTAAATAAATATATAAATAATTAAATAAATATAATAAAACTTATCTTTATATTTTATATTTATTTTAAATAAATTAACAAATTAAAATTAAAAAATTTAATTAATATTAAAACTATATATGATAATTAAAAAAATTATTATATCAAATCATAATAATAGTAGAAAATAAAGATTTTTATATTTAATCTAATTAAAATTTAAATGCTTAGTTATATTTAAATAAAATTTTAATTGACCGATATTTTTATATCTAAGTATTAATATTAGTACAGTATATTGATTATATTATTAAGCTTTAATGGTCCAAGAAAGAAAGGGTTTAATTATACTCTTTTTGCCTTCTCCATTAGTTAAAGAAATAGATTCAAATGGATTTGTGCTAATTTTGTTTCCTACACTAGGTTTTTTGTCTTCAGGTTGTTCAGAAGGATTATTTTGTTGAGAAAGTGTAGAAGAATCGTCAGAAACTATATCATCCTCAGTATCAAGAGGAGGAACTGTAACTTCAACTTCCTCATTTCTATCATTGGTTAAATCAATGCCTAATTTAATATTATTTAATAATCCTCGTAAAATAGGTAAGAAATTCATCCAAACGGTTTGTGGCAATTCCTTCAATAAATCATTTAACCATTCGATTTGCCCTTCTTCATCTCTACTCACTCTTAAAGAGATGATGAAATCTTTTTTAAAATCTAATAATAATTTAGGAATTTCTACTGGATTTAAAGTCAATTTTGCTTCTATAGGTATAATATTTTGACCAGAATTTTCCAAATTGTTTTGAATGACAACGGATTGATTTGAAAATATTTCAAATATTGAAATACCATTACTTTCTAATGATAAAACAAAATCACCAATATCCACATGAAGTGGACCAATATTTTTAAATGAAACATCAAGAATAATTGTAGAAACTATTTCAACTAAATCTATAGCGATAGGATTCCATAAAAATAATGGAGGAGGTGCGAAAGATATCTCATTAAATATTTTAAACGAATCGTCTGAAAGATTTAGACAGTCTTTGGAAGTGCAAAGGGTTACAGAACCAAGAGAAGCACCTTGGGTAAATGATTTAAATTTTAGTAAATTAGGAACCGCCGTCTCTAGAGCTTGAGACATTGGACCATTTTCAATAATAAGGAAAAGTCCAAATTCCCATTTCGATTGACCTTTTTGCACGTTGATTTTACCAAGGGATTTAGTTATAGCACCAGGAACATCTTGAAAGAATACGTGAGCGAGTAGTGAAGGAATATTGACGTTTAACGGTAAGTTGGGAATAGCAGGAGTAGTGAATGAAACGTCTATTCCTTGTTGAGTAATTTGAGATTGGATATTATCAATCATTATTAAATTATTCTTTTGATTAAATTCCGAGAATTCACTAATGAATTCTCCTACGTCCATTCCTACCGCGATCTTTCTGGTAAATCCAAAAGAATTTTGTGAAGAAGGTCCAAATATTAAATTACTTATTCCAACTTGCATTACTATAGTATAAGTTAATCTTCTAAATATTAAATCAGATCCCACAACAGCTAAGTTATTGGCGAGTTGTTTATTATCTTGAAATATTGATTCAACTGAAGTCGTGTATCTTCCACTTTTAAATTTCATTCCGTTAAAAATATTTGACACAAACATTTCATCATCAATTGCAACATCAACACTTGCAAATGGGATATTAAAAGTTATATCTGGTAGCCCGGTTAGGTCAGCTACAACATCGGTGGTTAAGGTGTTTGAATTTTTAATCCCAACAGTTACATCATCCAAAGCAAGTTTAACAGGTCCGGTACCATCTATACATCCTTTAATAATACTTGTAATTTTCGTTTTAATTGTTAATAATATTGGATTTAACGGAAGAGAAATCAATACTTTACGAAAAATATCTATAATATCTCTATCGGAATTTGAATTACCAAATAATAGTCCATTGATATTTGCATTTCCTGAAATGACGGTATCATCAGTTCCTTCAATTAATGATTTGGTTAAAGACGCTATTTCATCTTGTAATTCATCAGAATCTTGGATAATTAATGCAGCAGTAAATCTTGTTGAAATGACATTATTATACGAAATTATTTTGATATCAGTTAATATTACTCTTGTAAATGACGAAGCATTTAATGCAACTGATAATTCAAGCATTCTCATATCAACGTTTAATGGAAGTGAAATATTTTTAATCCCTATATCTCCATTAATAACCAATTCTTGTCCATCTGGATTCATATCAACTGCGATATTATCAATATCTAATCGATTTAACATTCCCTCGATTGTTAAATCCGTTAAAGAAAGTCCAATCATTCCTAATAATTTTTCGACGACTTTTTGATTAAGAATCGAGGATGTTGGAATCTCTACGATTACTTTTTCAAAAACTTTAATATGATCATCAAGAGAGACACCGATCTTGAATCCATTAATACTGAATAATTCATTTGTATCTCCTAATCTATTTTGTTGTAGAGAATTAACAAATGAAGCAATTTTATCCGGAACTTGATCATCAAATACTTGAAATACTAATTCTGATACAATGGAAAGTCTATTATTAGCACCAGAATCAATTGAAAAATATGATAAATTTGTATCAATGATCTTGATTAAATCTAATCCTAATGATAATTCAATAAATCCAAGTTCAATCGTAATAGGAAAATTATTATTAAATGATGCTCCAACATTTACCAACATCGAATTTTTATCAGTTGATGAAATTTCCAATGCATCCAATTGAAATCCAAATTGTTCTATGAAAGTAATTGGATCAATAAATTTTGGTATATACTTAATTATTGGTGTTATTAATCTTTCTAAAGGTAATTCTAAAGAAATTAACGATAAGGCATTAATATTGTCGTCATTCGATATACCGATAATGGGGTTTCTAATTGCAAAATTTCCTTTCATTGGAGGAGAATTAATGAAATCTTGAGTTAATTCACCAAGTTTATTGGCCAATTCATCGGAATCATTAATTTTTACCGAAGTAGCGATCGAAACAGAATTTTTTTTACCCATAACAGCCAATAATATATCAAAAGTTGGTAGATCGTCCAAAAAGATTCCAAAGCCGGCATACCCAATATTCATCGTTAATGAAAATGGTATACTAATTGAAGTTGTTATTATCATTTCAATTATTTTCCCTGGTAAAAATTTGATATCCAATTGACTTAAAACTATTTGAACTAAATTTGAAATGATTATTGAAATTGATCCTTGATCCACTGATATTAATGTTGAATTATTATCATTTAGAATGTCTGAAATAGAATCAATTATTCCATTTAAATTTATTTGTCCGGTAATTAAATTTCCAATTTCTGTTGAGAGAGAGATTTGTTCAAATGTACGAATAGAATCTTCTTTTGAAATCCCAAGTGCAATTCCATTAATGCCACCTACTGTCGAAATGAATTCACCATTAATTAAAGAGTTATAAACCTTTTTAACGGATTGTGGAATTGATTCCTTATCATTAAATGTGCATTGAATCCTAAGTGAAATATCATTTTTCCCGACACTTTGGTTCTTAATTTCAAAGATTTCAATGGAGGTAAATTGTGTGTTATCCAACGTAATTCCATTAATAACGAAATAATCGATATTAGCATTAATTTCAAATGGAATATTTAATTTAGCACCGATTTGTAATGATAATATCCTATCAGATAACGTTGTAATATCAACAGATTGTAATTGTGAAAAAGATAACAATTGGTTCAAATTAATCGGTAATTTAACCGGTGATAATTCAAATAGTTTATCCTTATACAAATTAACATCAATCAAATCATTTGGTAATGGAAGATTAAGTAAACTTAATAAATCATTGTTTTCTTCATTTGACTCTCCAAAATAAATTTCACCTAATTCGATTTTTTGTTTGATTTTTCCATTTAAAATATTTTTAATAAATTCATTCACGGCTGTTTTATTGCCGTCATCAAATCTCATCAATAAAGCAACATTCATAGTTCCTTCATTTCTCACAAAATCAATTTGGCTGATTTCGAATGTAACAAGATTATTTCCATCCAATATGATGGTAGCCCCAAAAAACGGAATTCTGGCACCTATAGGTAATGGATTAGTATAATTGAAGGCTAATTGAACCTGTAATTGAGAATTTTCTTTTGTTTCGATTGAAATGCTTGAAATAGTTGGAAACGCGAATGTTGTTTCTGATGTTGGAAATAACCCAGAAATATCGATAATAGTATTTTGTGGATTTTTAATCATTTCTAATAAATTAATAGATCTTAATTTTTCGGCGGGAATAAGTGAAGGAGGAATTGTAATATGTACAGTAGAAAACTGATCGATGGTGGATAAAGTAACATTAGCGTTTTCTCTTTGAGTCATAGAAGGAGGAAATATCGTTAAGCTTTTCATTCCGATGATTGATCTAAAATTTCCTTCAGTGCTGATTAAATCATTATATAATTTTAAAATATTATCTGACATTCCATTTTTACCGTTAACAATATCAATTTTCATTTGTAAATTTAATGGACTTTTTTCTAATGAGAATTTAATTGGCGATATTGTTATGTTAGCCAATTCACCATAAAATAATGTAGTTACAAATGATACTGATCCGATATTAGCTGCTATGTTTGTTGGATTATTAAGATTCGTCTGAACATTAACTGATAAAGAATTTGAGGATGTGACAGCAAAATCAACTCCCGTTAATGATAATAATCCAGTCTGTTGTTGGATTGATTGTGAGATGGTTTCTATCGTCGTTTTAATTGCCGATCTTAATGTCGCTAAATTAATCGGTACCACAACTTTGCTAAATGTTACAAAATTTTGAACTTCACTTGATCCTAATTTAATTCCACTAAGACTGATGAACTGCATTTCAATATCATCTTTCATACTTAGAACACCTATAACTAAATCTGCAATAGTTGATTTCAATCTTTCGTCTTTATTAAATATAGCGGAAGCGACAATATTTGATGAATTTTCTCCTGCGGTGTATTCTATTCCATTAGATAGTTTGACGGTTGTTAACAATTTATCATCGATATATATAGATGTTTTCACATACCCAATACTAATAGTAATGATTGGAAGGGATGGAGGATATTCAATCGCAAAGGTTCCATTAACATCGAATCCAGCTACGTCGCTTCGTTGCGTCACGTTCATTTCAATTATTTTCGCTGGAACATTTTTTCCGTTTTGAGTGATCTTATTAATTATCGCGGTCGTATTAAATCCGGGAATTGGAATATTAAGAAAACGTTTTCCAAGTAATCGATCGACCCAAGGGAATGTTTCTCCTGTTTCTTTTAAAATTTCAAAGTTCTTTATATCAGCGCTTGAAATGTTTCCAAGTAATGAAGGATTTACTATCGAAGCTAAAGCATCGGCCGCTTCCAAAGTATTATTTGGTGTTAAGGTGGTCGTAGTTTGAACCCTTAACGTTTCATCATTCGTCATTGAAATTTCACTCAGAACAACCGTGAGAGCATTTTGTTCTCCTTTAAATATTCCAAATGAAATATTATATTTAAATTCAAAACTTGGCGGTAAAGGAAGGAAGCTTGGTAAGGTGATGACAGCAGGAATAATTATTTGATCTCCTTGTACTTTAATATCCAAATGTATCTTGTGTAATAAACTTTCGATTCCTTTAACATCCAATAGATTTCTTAATAGGTTAACATTAGTATTTTCAATAATTTCATTAATCGGTAACATTAGGGATAATTTTTCGGTGATGTCTCGAATAATGTCAACACCTTTAAGTGCAACTGGTCCAATGATGTTAAATTGTAACCCTTCATTTGATTGATCCACTCTAAGTAATTTTCCTATCGATTCAGATATCGAATTGCATAATTGATCTGGACTTACGATCCTACTTTCATCAAAAGTGAGTCGTAAATTTAAGTCGAGATCATTTAATCCTTGGATTAAATTAAACCCGTTAACATCTGCCGTCGCTAAATATGAATTTTCCAGTTGTAGGCCAAAGGTTGTGTCAGGTAAAGGTACAGAAAAAACCGTTGGATTCACCATCAATACCTTTAATGTAATATTTGGTCCCGCATCTGTAAACACTATGTCCAACGCTTTCATATTGATTGGTGGAAACTACATTTTGGAATCAAAAAGGAAGAATGATGATTTTGGCGCAGCAACACTTGCAAGTGGCGCAGAAGAATTTCAGAAAAAATTTAACTTACCCCTGGAAGGATTTGCCAGAATACAATTCCATCTATTACGAGGGGTTTATGAACATCGACAGCATCGGCGGTTGTCTTGGGCACAATCACTTGTTGCACTATACAATTGCAAAAAAAAAAAAAATCATCATAAACGATTTTTTATGTTTAAATAAAAATTGCTCGTCACAATATTTCATATTTACTTTTTTTGGATAATAAGAATTTAGGCATGTTATTCCAAAGTAACATTAAATTTCCATCCAACTTAGGTATTTTAATAATTCGTTTAATATCCAAGTTCTTGTACCAAGTGATACCCCACATTTGTACAGTGACTTGAGTAACAGCAGAAATTGAAGTTTCTTGTATGCCACCAGGTTGGGAAACTTTTCCAATTATATTTTTTAATCCGAATTCTTCAAATATAACATCTCCTTCAAATTCAAGTACGATAGGTTTACCAATATTAATTTCCATTTCTGGTACGCTAATTTTCAATAGACTAATTGATTCTGCATAACGCAACTCTAAATTTAAAGAGGCTAATTTAGTTTGCATTGAAAGAAAAAATTGTTTTGGTATAACGGCCTTCCAAGAAAATTTTAATCCATTGGATTTCCATTCTATCACGTCAATATAATCAATTGTTATCTTGTTTAAATCAAGTCTCTTTATTTTATATCTTAGGATTGCCGGTATGATTACAAAATAAATCAATGGCGCCAAGATAATTGGGAATAATAATGATATCATCACCAAATGAAGTAAGATGAATTTTGATTTGCTTAATTGACCATTGCAGTAACGTAACTTAGATTTTTCGTGATTTGGCGCATCTACGTAAATAGGTTTATACCATGATTTTACACAGTCGAAAAGTGAATTTTTTGTATTATTATCGGAATCATAAGATTCTTTATTGGGTAATTCTCCTGTGTTAATATCGATCGCGTGAACATGATCTCTTGGATTATTCACTAGATAAAATGAAAAGGAAAAAAGTTAATTTATAAAGTAAAAAGAAAAAGATCAAAAGTAAATGAATATAATCTTACTTTATTTTTATTTTTCAATTTGAAATTTACAGTAAAATAAATTGTGATTAAGCTCAAAATTGAATTATCTATGCCTATTTTTTAAAAAGAAAAAAAAAGATAAAAATCCTTTTTCATCAATAAAAAGAAATCGTTAAAAAAAATCGAAAAATATGGAGCTTTATAATTATATATATCTTTGATTTTTTAAAGTAGTCTTTGAAATAAGAGAAAAGAGTATATTTTTTTTTGAATTGGTTAATGACGGAGTACTTTTTTTTTTGATGACCGAAATTGCGTAATGATGTCATTATTTAATATAAGTGAATGCCTTTTTAGAATAATATTTTTAGGGCGCAGAGCAAAGGCTGATATAATGTTGTGTAAATATTTAATATATTTTTACTTTAATAGGTAAAAAGTCATAGAAAGGAAACTGCCAGAAAAAATAAATAATTTTTTAGGTCAAAACATGTTCAGAATTAGCGTTAACTCATTTTTTATTTTTTCCAGTTCCCCCTTTACTATTGCATAGGTCCCATATGATTAATTTGAATCGGTTACAAATATGAAATTATGGAAATAATTAACTATAAGGAACTTATTTCATAATTGCGCTTTTGGTGATATACGGAAGAACTTTAAACTTCCCGATTGCCAGATAATCATGTTAATTGACGAGAGATCCAAACATCTCAATTAATTAATTCTTGTGAAAAAAAAAGTCGCTCTTTGTAAGGCACATATTAACCGCTTAACGGAATGAAATTCTTAATCAATCTTTTGATTCTTCATTTGTTTAACTAAATAAAAAATTATTATATTTATTATTCTTTTTATTATATATAAAATGTAGAATTTGATTTAATTAACATTTTTTTTTTTATTAATAAATTATTTATTTTATTAAAATAAAGATTTTATATTTATAATATTATTATTTATGTTTTTAAACTATTTTTACTTTTGATTCATATAATTTCCCTAATTTATTACTAATTTATAAGTATTAGCTAATATATATTATATTTTAATTGATCTTTTTGAACATTTATATTAATAAGTATATAAATCCAATTAATTGATAATTTAAAATTTTTAATTATATTTAAATTTTATTTCATTCAATTTAAATTAAAATATTATAAAAAAATACAATATATGATAAAAAATTTTGTTTTACAAAATTAAATTAGAAGCAAAATTACTAAAACTTTTACTATAAAAGTATTTATAATTTATATATAAAATAGTATTAAAACTAAAATAAAATTTAGTTTATTTGTCATATTATTAAGAAAAGCAAACTAATTATCATAAATAATTTATTATAAAATCTAATTTTATATTAGATAGAATAATCAAAACATTTTTAGATTTAGTAAAACATTTTTTTATTTTTTTAATTGTATTATTCATTTCTTAATAAAAATAATTATTTATTTAATATTACTAAGTAAGCACTAATAATTATAATATTACATATTTAATAGTTTATTATTATGTATTTTGATATTAAAAGAAAAGTATAAAGAACTTTATTTAAATAATTTAATTTTTATATATAATATAAAAATAACATTTATGTAAAACTGATATATTAATTTATATAACTACAATTTGCTAATTTAATATAAGTAATATATTAAATAAAATAGATATTAAATAATTGGATTTATTTTAATAAATTTGTATTAAAATTTAAATAATTCATATTTTTAAAATTTTTTGATATGTATTTTATCTTAATTTATTAATTTAAAAGCAGATAATTTAATTAGTTAGTTTATTTACATATTATTTAAAATCTTAAATTTTAATTTAATTTTAAAATTTTATTATAATTATAGTTTAAAAAACTTTGCTTATATGTTTTAAGAATATTTTTAGTATGTAAATTTAGATTTTTAGATTTTTAATTAGTTATATTATATGGAACCTTTGTATTAGAAAAGAGAAAAACAGCTAAAAAAAAAAAAAAAAAAATGAATTAATGCTAAATCTGAACATATTTTAATCTAAAAATCATATTTGGTTTATAAAAGTAAAATTGATTTTCTCTGGCTGTTTTCTTTCTTTCTATTGCAAAGGTTTTATATTATTTATCTTATAATATTAATAATTAAAAATTGACTTTTATATTAATTTTGTTAGAAATATCTTAATTAATACATTAAGATAAAATTAATGCAATCATAATATATATATATATACTTTTATGTAAAAAGATCTTTATTATTTTTTTATCTAAATTCTCTAAACTATTTTTGAAATATAAATTAAAAATTTTTTTTTATAAATATTTTAATTTCAACTATTTACTTTACTTTACTTAATACTATCTACTACTTTTATTAAATGCTCAATTATATTACTATTAAATATTAATATTTATATTTTGTTTAATATAAATGTTAATTTGTAAAAATTTACATTTTACTAATTTATTTCATTTCACGTGATTTTTAGATGTATAAGATTACATGAGATGAAATTTTTGTGGGTTACCTGATAATCTACTAAGCCACCGACGCATATAAAAAAAAATTAAAAATTAAAAAAAAAAAATTAAAAAAAAAAACTTTTATCTTATCAATTAATTGGTAGGGAGGGAAAGCTTTCAGTGTGAATTGATAGAACACAAATAAATGAAAGCAACTTTCTCTTTTGAAGCGTTTTGCTTCATAGATTTTGCGTTCCCATAATAGTTTTTTTTTATAATAAATTTATTGTGGAATCATAGTGCACTAGAAATAAAAAAACCCTTTCTCGTGTCTCCATTAAACCACTACATATTTAATTGAATTTTAATTAAATGATAATTGAGTTATCATGTCTTTTACTCTTTGTAAAATAATGTCATTATCACATTCAATAGAAGAAATAACATAAGGTGGGGATACATGTGCTCTATCTAAAATATGTACAACTGGGTCATCTTTCGTATGATTTGTTTGAATTCGATTCTTTAGAATAAATAATAAAATTAGAAAGATTTAGCGATATTATACCTACATATATATACTCTTAAAAATATATTTACCGATTCGAATAACGAAATCAAATTTTCTTTCCTTTGTTGCATTTTTTCTGAATCATGTTTAAAATCTTCAATCCTTTGATTAATCATTTTATCTAATAAATGTCTTGGTATTCCGTTCTCCTCATTATTTACTATAAAAAGAAATCATGTTATTTTAAGATTACAAAATTATTTATTTAATATTAATTATACCTTTAAATTCTGATACAACATGGTGCATAATAACCAAAATTTTATACTTGGATGGTAATTCCTTTTCAATAGAATTATTCTCAACCTATTAAAAATAAGGATATAAATAATTTCAAATAAATTTTACAGAAATTAAATTTATTTTACCTGTAATAAAATTATTGTTGAAGTCACAGGATCTATATTGTATAAATATCCTTTTAACCCTTTTTCATTATTTTTCAATTTAATTGTACATAATTTTCCCAAAGATTCTTCTATTTGTCCAAATGTTAGATGATATGTTGCATAATTCGACATTTTTAAATGATATTAAAAAAAAGAAAGTAAAATGTAACGGTCAAATTTTGATTCGGTCCTTATACTTTAATGAACACGTGGATTTAGTCTATTTTTGGGCGTTTTATTTAAGCTAAATTTTATAATATATTCATAGTATCAACATTTACATTTTTAATACAATAAAATTCTTCAATTATTTAATCCTATTTCCAATTTGTCCATTCAGTATTTTCTCGCTATTTAATTATAAAATATAAAAAGAACATATTAACAAGGATTATTTTTTTAATCAATAAAAAATGTTAAATCATACCGTTCTTCGAGTATATCATGGATTTCTTGAAAAATAATTTCTGCCTTATCGATAGTATCAATTTCTTGTTTAAGACGTGTGATTTCTTTACTTAAGAAACCGTGACCTTGTTTATCCAATAAACCTAAGATCAAAAATATAAATTATTCTGGATATTTGGCAAGTGGATGCATTATTGATTTACCTTTCAAAGTTTCGGCTGCTTGCTGCATACTATTCGTAACCTGCATGAATGACGCGTTTTTATCAAAAGTCGTTACAGCATCACGAATTACGGATGACCAACGAATTCCTATAGAGAAATTATAAATGTATCTTAAATAATCAATAATCAATAATACCAAATGTAATGATACCTTCGCGTTTCAAATCAGACAAAGTCATAAAGATCCTATCGGCACTCTTGTAAAATATAAAACAATTATTTCTTAATATATTATTTTGTAACAACAATAGACATACATACATACCATATATTTTGGACAATGGATCAGGTCTTTTATATTGTATACAAAGTTATCGTCAAGGGCGCGATGAATGTCAAGTGTGCTTATAGCTCGAAAATCGCTAAGAAAAACAAGATATTTATTGGTCCATTTCTTAAAATTTTACATATGAATAATAATGAAACATACTTATGTAATTTGATTTGTTTTGCCGATCTTAAATTTAAAATTTTAAATTTTTCATTCTCTTTCATCATCATATTATCGAGGTTTTTACCCAAAGTTTCAATATGATTAGCAAAAGGGAAAAGCTTCTCTTGTAGAAAACCCGAAATCTAAGAAACGAATTTTATGAAAAATTTTCAAGATTTTTTTTTTTTTAAAATGATAATTAACTAATCATCAAAGGTACCTCTTCAGCTTTTCCAATACAGTTCGTTCTTGTTAATTGATTGAGATAGTTCAAGCGTTGAATGGTTTTTTGTTTTTCTTCCTATTCAAAATTTTCAAAGTTATTATAACAAGCTATAAGCAGGAAGTTGTATAATAAAAGTAGCTTACTATATCTGATTTATAACCATTAACTAGGTCAAACAAGGTCGATAACTCGTCACGAGAAACCACCAAATTTTGATTTTGACTTTCAAGCATGTCAGCAAAACTCACAACCATCTTAAGTGCGGCTTGATTAGCTTCTAGCGCAGCATTGGAATTTAATACTTGTCTACCTCCTCCCAAGAAAATATTAAATTAGAAGTTGAATAATTGATCATTTATATTATAAGATTAAATATCTGTTATAAATACATTATACAATCTTCCATCGGTATATGCATATACTTCTTTTCTGAATATGCTTTTATGGGCTTAATTTCTTGCTGGATTTTTTCCTTCAGCTTAAAAATATCGTTAAGAATTGCTTCGGTTTCAATGAATTTCTCTACATGATTTTCTCTACATTGCTTATATTATATTTACGAAAATAATTTAGTACGTTAATCAACAAAAACTGAAACAAAAAAAAAAAAATAGTCACCTGTAGCAACCGCTGAACTTTTTGGATTGAATCTTCAACAGAAGTATCAGATTTTTCAACGAACTTATCGGTATATGAACTATATATAAAACCAACATGTATATTACATTAATATATATTATAAAATTTCAGTGTAAATATATATTTTTGAATCTATAAAAGATATACCACATCAAATCTTTGGAAGCAGATTTCATTACACTTGCCACGGATTTAAGCAATAATTTCGGCGGAAATGTACTTAGCATTTCCTATTTATAAATTAGAAAATAAAGGAGATATTAAAATGAAGTTCCGGAAGTCATAATGATAAAAAATATGTCAACTTTAAAACCTCAATTAAAAAACGAATATCTTTTTTCGTGTTTTCATCAACAACTTCTTTACTATAAATTATTGTTAGAAATTGTTATAAACTATCAAGACTTAAAATTTAAAATTGATCAAACCTCATAGCAATATTCTCTCCAAACGATCTAAGTTTTTCACAAACTTTTTTGATCCTAATCTTTACAATATTTATTTAAGTTAAGTTGTATAAAAAAAAATTTGTCGATTATTGATATTTTAATAAAGGTGTTCTTACGGTCAATGTTGTCTCACTTCCTTTTTGCGTCATACTGCGTTAAAATTTTATTTCTTATAATTAATTCTTTACGCGTTAATAGAATGACATCAAATAATATATTTTTTAAAATACCTTATATCATCCTTCATTCTAAACTTTCTTTTATGTTCTTCTAGGAGATTTCGATATTCATTCTCAATTATTGCAAAAGACTTACAATTTTCTCGGAATGTTTCTTTAGTATAAATTTTATTCTTCTTTTCACGCAATTCTCCTTGAACGTTTCTTATCTGAAATTCTAATCAAAGGATTATATCATTTAAAATTAATTAATGAGTTCATTCTAATATATATTTTTTTTATTATATTACCAATATCTGCTATACGCGATATTAAACGTTCAATTTGTTCTTCTTCATCTTTTATATTTGTATTGATCTGTGATAATCTTTTTTCAAGCTTTACTTTTCGGTTTTCATGATGCGATTTTACTTTCAGTTGCTGATCTCTAGGTAGAAACTTGAGATGAGTTTGTATTTTTATGTATTGCGTTAATAATAAAACTTAGAAAATATTAATTTAGTACACTTACGCAAGATATTCGTTACGAATTTGAACTACTTGCCTGATATTAATGATAGAACATAAAAAGTGTATTTTCAGATTTTTATTTAAAATAAAAATTCATTAAGCCATATAATTAAAATTTATATAATACTTGGTAGGTCTTACGCGTTCCATAAGAAACTTGAAAATCGGAATGAATTCATTCTTACAAAGCCTAATGGAATTATAATAAATATTCAAATAACTTTGCCTTTGATCACAATCACATCGTAGAAATATCTTACTTTTGTACATCCTCCCTGGTGATTTCTTTATCGGAAATCGCGTCGTCTATTATAGACGTAGAATGTCCTAATCTGTAACCAAGCTCGTTCGTTAACCATAAATAAACCGCTTGAGAATTTGTTGAGTTATCTATTTGCTTTTGTTTATCTTTTGCATATTTTGACTGAAATAAACGAGTGCTACTCATAATGTAAAAAAAAAAAATTGTAAAGACGACGCGTAGTTTAATGTATTTCAGAAAACGCGAATCCAAAATTTTATGAAAAATTTTTTCAACCTATCAATTATATAATTATTAATAGATTTAGTTTTACCAACTTACTAAAAAAAAATTCTTTTTTTAATTAAAGAACATTTTTTATTTTTTAAAAGAAATTTTTTTTATATATATATTATTATCTAATGAATTTTAAAATATTTTGCTTTTCTTTTTATAAATTTTTAAATATTCAATATAAAGATAACAAATAATATTTTAAGTATGTAAATTTCAGATATTAATAAAAATAAAAACATAGTATAATATTAAAAGTTTTTTATATTTATAATTTTTACATATTTATATTTAATTTTTCTATATTGATAAAATTCATAATTTTAATTGGTAAATTAATAATTATAAGGGTTAAAATTTGAAATGATTTAGAGTGTAATATACAATAAATAAATTATTATTTTATTTAATATTAAAAAAATTTTAATATAATATTATGTAAAATAATATAAATAATTAAGATAATGAAAATAATATAAATAATAAATATAATTTAATACATTTTATAATAAGTTATTATAAAAAAATTAAAAAATTTAAATTTACAATAGTGGTCATAAGTATCCGACCGCCTCTAACTCTGGCTACAAGTAAGTAAATTCAAAATTTTTTTTTTATTTAAAAAATACATAACCAACTAACTAAAATTAATACATTGTGTAGTCACCATCTGACTCTATAAGTGCAGCTGTATGCCTTTTCATGTTAGCTACCAAATTTGCGACAAGCACAGGTGATAATCGATTCCATTCTTTTGTAAATTCTCTCTTTACCCTCTAATTGATCAAATTTTTTTTTTATATATTAATTTTTATTAACCTCCAAACGTTTTCTATAGGGTTTTGGTCTGGAGACATTGATGGTTAAGAAAGTACCTCAATGCTATTTTCTTTCTTCTATTTTTTCACGATTTTCAATTGATGCTTTAGATCATTATCTTCTTGCAAGATTCAATCTATGTTACCTTTACCAAAAAGTTTAGAGGTGAAAGCTAGAAGACCCTGCTCATAAATAGTACACATAAATTCAGTATTAAGGTTTCTCTGAAAGCAAAATAGCTTACCAAATCCAGAAGCAAAAAAACATTCCCAAACATGAACTTTTGGTGGATACTTAATAGAACGAAATAATTTTTTTCTACCAGAAAACTGCCAACCTTTTTTTTAATATATATAATTGAAATGTACTTTTATCTGTAAAAACAACTCAATTCCAATTAAAATTCTTATGTTTTTTTACCTATTGCAACCTTTTTTTTCGATGGTTTTCTTTAAGCAAAGGTTTAGAAATTTCATTACTAAACTTTTCTTCAGATTTACAAAGATGTCACCTTACTATTTCTACACTAAGCTCAACACCTCTTTTTTCTATTTTTTCTTGTATTTGAATAGCTGTTATATTATGTTCTTTTTTTGCTATCTTTACAATCTTGTCATCTTGTTTCATATATATTACACAAGGCCACCCCAGTTTTTCTGAAATGCTTAGATCCTGATTTTCATGATATGGGACCTTTGTAATAGAAAAGA